ACATTAACTAATAGTAAAAGGAACTCCAGGTTTTTTTTTTTTTTTTTTTTTGTTTTTTTTTTTTTTTTTAAATTTTCCTCCTTTTTTTTTTTTTTTTTTAATTGCGAGCCTATATGTGCCTTTGCATGAGAAATGGGTCTCCTGAATACAACACACCAGTGGGTCTTGACTCTATCCAATCTGCCATTCTGTGTTTTTTAGTTGGCTCATTTTTCCAGCTTACATTTAAGGTTGATATTGTTATGTATGAATTTTACCCTGTCATTATGATGATAGCTGGTTATTTTGCCTATTAGTTGATGCTGTTTCTTCACAGTGTTCATGGACTTTACAATTTGGTGTTTTTGCAGTGCCTGGTACTGTATTTTTTCTTTCCATATTTAGTGCTTCCTTCAGGAGCTATTGTAAGGCAGGATGATGGTGACAAAATTTCTCAGCATTTGCTTGTCTGTAAAGGATTTTATTTCTCCTTTGCCTATAAAACTTAGTTTGTCTGGATATGAAATTCTGAGTTGGAAATTTTTTCTTTAAGAATGATGAATATTGGCCCCCAGTCTCTTTTGGCTTGTAGGGTTTTTGCAGAGAGACCCGCTCTTAGTCTCTTAGTCCCTTTGTGGGTAACCTGACCATTCTCTCTGGCTGTCCTTACCTTTTTTTTTTTTTTTTTTTCACTTCAACCTGGGAAAATCTGTTGATTGTGTCTTGTGGTTGATCTTCTCATGGAGTATCTTACTGGGGTTATCTGCATTTCCTGAATTTGAATGTTGGCCTACCTTGTTAGGTTGGGGAAGCTCCCCTGAATAATCGTCTGAAGAGTATTTTCCAACTTGATTCCATTCTTACCATTGCTTTCATGTACACCAATCAAATGCAGGTTTGGTCTTTTCACATAGTCCCATATTTCTTGGAGGCTTTGTTCATTCCTATTTATCCTTTTTTTCTGTGCTTTATTTCATTAAGTTGAACTTCAGTTTCTGATATCCCTTCTTCCTTGATCAATTCGGCTATTGATACTTGTGTATGCTTCATGAAGTTCTAGTGCTGTGTTTTTCAGCTCTATCAGGTAATTTATGCTCTTCTCTAAACTGGCTATTCTAGTTAGCAATTTCTCTAATGTTTTTTCAAGGTTCTTAGCTTCCTTGCATTGGGTTAGGACATGCATTTATGGCTCACAGAAGTTTGTTATTACCGACCTTCTGTAGCCTACTTTTGTCAATTCATCAAACTCGTTCTCCATCCAGTTTTGTTTCCTTGCTGGTAAGGAGTCGTGATTCTTTGGAGGAGAAGAGACATTTGGGTTTTTGGAATTTTCAACATTTTTACACTGGTTTTTCCTCATCTTCATGAATTTATCTACCTTTGGTCTTTGATGCTGGTGACCCTTAGATGGGGTTTTTGTGTGGATGTCTTTTTTGTTGATGTTGATGCTATTCCTTTCTGTTTGTTAGTTTTAATTCTAAGAGTCAGCCCTCTCTGCTTCAGGTCTACTGGAGTTTGCTGGAGGCCCACTTCAGACCCTGTTTGCCTGGTATCACCAGTGGAGGCTGCAGAACAGCAAAGACTGCTGGCTGTTCCTTCCTCTGGGAGTTTTGTCCTAGAGGGGCACCCACCAGATGCCACCTGGAGCTTGCCTGTATGAGGTGTCTGTCAAGCCCTACTAGAAGGTATCCCCCATTCAGGAGGTTCAGGGGTCAGGGTCCAAATTGAGGAGGCAGTCTGTACCTTAGTAGATATGAAGTGCTCTGCTGGGAGATCTACTGCTCTTTTCAGAGCCAGGAGTCAGAACTAAGTTTAAGACTGATGATGTTGCACCCACACCCATCCCTTCCCTCAAGTGTTCTGTCTCAGGGAGATGAGAGTTTGATCTATAAGCCCCTTACTTGGGCTGCTGCCATTCTTTCAGTGATGCCCTGCCCAGAGAGGAGGAATCTAGAGAATCAGTCTGACTACAGCAGCTTTGTCAATCTGCAGTGGGCTCTGGCCTGTTTGAACTTCCTAGTGGCTATGTTTACAATGTTAGGGGAGAACTGCCACTCAAGCCTCGGGAATGGCAGATGCCTCCCCGCACTAAGCTCGAGCATCCCAGGTCAACTTCAGACTGTTGTGCTGGCAGCAAGAATGGCAAGCCAGTGGATCCTAGCTTGCTGAGCTCCGTGGAGGTGGGATCTGCTGAGCTAGACCACTTGGCTCCCTGGCTTCAGCCCCCTTTCCAGGGTAGTGAACGGTTCCATCCTGCTGGCATTCCAGGTGTCACTGGGGCATGAAAACTATCTCCTGCAGCAAGCTCCATGTCTGCCCAAATGGCAGCCCAGTTTTGTGCTTGAAACCCAGGGCCCTGGTGGCATAGACACCTGAGGGAACCTCCTGGTCCGTGGGTTGCAAGACCATGGGAAAAGTGTAATATCTAGGCTGAAGTGCACTGTTCCTCACAGCACAGTCCCTCACAGCTTTCCTTGGCTATGAGAGGGAGTTCCCCAACCCCTCATTCCTCCTAGGTGAGGCAAATGCTCCACTCTGCTTCAGCTCACCCTCCATGGGCTGCGCCCACCATCTAACTAGTCCCAATTGGATGAGTCAGGTACCTCAGTTGGAATTGCAGAAATCACCTGCCTTCTGCATTGATCTTGCTGGGAGCTGCAGATAAAGCTGTTTTTATTTGACCATCTTGCCAAACACTCCCTTTAATTTTTTATTATTGATTTGGTTTGAGACTATAATTACTAAAGTTTTCAAGAGGAGCTATTTTATAAAGAAGTACATTGTAATATTTCAATAGAAATATACACTAAATATTTTCCTAACAGATAGTGATATACCCATCAAAACATTTTTGGTAAACAAATTCAGAAAACAATTATAAAAGGTAGTAAGGTAATTAAAAATCTGTTATTTTCAACAATTTTAATCAGTTTTAGACCTACTCTATTTGATGTGGCATGGCTTTTGTTTTTTATAACATGACATTACAGGGTGTTTTTCTTGCTGTTACTTGCAAGAGTCCCCCAAAATGAAATTATTAGAATGTAGCTTGTGAGCATTTAATAAATGGAATTGTTGAATTGTAGACAACATCTGGGCTTCACTAACAAATGTATACCTTAATACCAATCTTCTTTTGACATGTTAATGTTTAGATGACAGTCATGAGAATGTAATAAATTAGTTGTGTCTGCAGGTCAGCAGGGTATTTTGCTAGGTTTTCTTGATTTTGTGGTGTATTATATAAAGTTATGTGAGCTTGATGAGCATTGCAACAAGAATCCAGGATCTATTTCTTTTTTGTCTTATTTTTTCCCCATTATCAAGTTTTGTGACTTCCTACAGAGAATGAGGTAAGTGTCAACCTGTGGGAGAAGTCTAGGGCCATGCCTTCTCTATCTTTGGTCCTCTCTCTTACTGTCTTTTATTTTAAAACAACTATAAGTTCATGAAAAGTTTCAAAGGCAAGTACAAGGACACCTTAGGTACCTTTCAGCCAGTCTCTCCCAATAACAAAATCTTCAGTACACTACCACATTGCACTTTGAAAATTAGAACATTGACATTGATACAATCCAGAGCTTTTTAAGACTCAATGCTTCTCGTTTGGCTATTCTAGGCAATTTACATTTCAATATGAATATTATAATTATATTGTCAATTAATATTAAAAGACTTTTTTTAGAATTTTGATTACAATTGAGTTGAATCTACAGATGAATTTGGAAATAACTGCTATTTTACAATATTGAATCTTCCAACCAGAAATCAAAATATACATCTCTATATTTTTATGTCATTAATTTATCATTGCAATTTTTTGTAGTTTTAAGTGTACAAGTAATTTACATCTTTGTTCAGATTTATCCCTAAGCTTTTAATATTTTTAAATTACACTGTTCTAAGTTTCAACTTTCAGTTGTTAAAATTAACTTCCAGTCCACCCTAGGACTACCATTGGCTGAAATATTGCCTTTTCTAATAATATAAACTTTTAATATATATAAACATACAATTGATTTGTGTGTTGATCTCCTACTCTGCAATCTTCTGACAACAATTCTTATAGAAGCATTTTTTTAGATTGACTTTTCTACATATGTTCTCATGTCGTCTTTAACAAAATATAATTTTGCTTCTCCCATTCCAATCTGAATCCATTTTTCCCCCCCCACTGGACACAATCTCCAGTATAAAGTAAAACTATACTCACACTGGTGCACGTGTTGGTCTTAGAGTGTAGTATCCTGCATGTAAACACTCAGAACAACTTCCAGCACTTGAATATCTACTCCTTCCCCCACTGCACATACTGGTAGAATTCATGTTGGGATACTACATTTACTATAAACATACAACGCTGTTTTGAAACAAAACTAGGATACACAGTAAATAATGTTTATTCACTAAAGTTTAGACAGACTGAAGGCCATTATTTCAGATTGGAAATAGGACACTTAAATGAACTACATGGACATTGGGTAAAAGAATCTGGGTTGAAATTTGCCTGGCAGTAGCCTAAAAGTAAATGATCTTCAAGGTGCATATGAAGGAACTGTAGGAAGGAAATTGGATAATTCATATCTCCATCAATTATTATATGTAACCATATTAGCATGGAGTTTACTTAAGGTGAGATATCTAAAATACTAGGTCATGATGGGAACAATAAACATGGAGAAATGAGGAACGGCGGCAGATCAGTTTGGGATTCATCTTCAGGGGATGTTGAAACAACAACAGCATTTGGTTTCTCTACACCTCTTTCATCCTTTTCTCCCAAGCCCAGGGAGTTATCAGGGGTGGTAATTTCTGATGTCAAAGCTACCCTAGGACTGCTGAGTCACTGCCTGAATGACCAAACAAAGCTCAAGGGTGTGGCTTTGCCTTGTCACCAGGAGGATATATATAGGCAGGGCAAGAGAGAGATCTGGGACACTCCACTGGGACACTTCAATACAGCTGTGGAAGTCTGCACTCTAGAAGAGACTAGTATAAACATTCTACAAGCAACCATGGTCATGAAACTGCCAACTTCAAGCACCAATGGGGAGAAGATGAAGAGCCTCTGTGTATCCAATAACAAAAAAATAATAAGGTAAGATGGTTAGGTTTTGTAGGGAAGGCAAGGATGAAAGAAAGATGGAGGGGGCTGGCTCAAATAGTAACACAGGTATATTGCAGAAACCTGTGGAAGTGGGGGACTAGCTTAATGCTAGAGCCCACTGCCACCTACATGGTTGGGTACTTACAGGTATGGATGGGAGGGACCTGGGCAGTATGGCTTGCTGCCTAGCAGGATATTGATAAGATGTTCTTATGATCAGGTGTTCTGGCCCTTTTTCCGGTGGAATATCACTGTGGTGTTCCTTAGAACTTTGCCAAGGAAGATGTGATAGTGATGTTTCTTTAGTTGGGCCTTTGACAGCCTTGTGCTCAGGTGGTTAGGCAGGATGTTTCTCACAGCCTGAACCTCCATGGAATGTTTCACTTTGACCAAGGTCTGCAAAATCGCAAAGAGCTTACAGAATGGAGCAGTTTGAACTAACACAGATGACCCTACCCATGCTCCTCCTCTTCTTCCCTATAGATCCCTACCCTATGATTCTACCTTGTTCTTTTTTTGGCACAAATCCCTTCCTCAACCTACATTCCTTCTTATAAAGCCCCTTATTCACCCTAAATAATGGCTTTCTGTCCTTTCCCCCTTTTCTTACCAGATGCAAGAGACACTGAGCAGAGCCTTAGCCTCCAAACAAACAGAGTTTAAAAAAGAAAGACAAAAAAGGTCAGAATATCCAGCAATATTAGTGTTTTACTACAGGAAGGATAAGAAAATAAATTCAAATCAACTGGAGAATGACCAGTCCTAAGAGAATTTCATCGATCCAATCCAAAAGGAGAAGGAAGAAAACCTAGATTGATCTGAATTATATTCATAGGAGAACAAAGACCTAGACTCATGTGAAGGCTCTTCTTCACAGGAGGATGAAGACCTAGACTCTCATGTGAAGGCTCTTCACAGGAGGACAAAGACATGGAATCATGTGAAGGATCTTCACAGGAGGGTGGGGAGGATTAGTCACACATGGAGAAACCAAACTTGAAAAATCATCACTATTGATGGTGATTATTACAATAAAACCAAGTTTGAGGAGCTGATGAATGTGTATATCTCTGTCTATTTTCTGATGGTGGGGAGGAAAGAAAGGGGAGAAGTAGACATTATTTGAGAATGGAGGGGTATGATGTCCAGTAGGGTTGGTGGACAGACCTACAGGTTGACAGCCAGACATTGTAAATAAGGACTGGGAGAGGACTAATTCCTGGAGACAAATTTTCTTCTTAAAATTTTCTCACAGGAAAGGAAGAAAGGTCTTGGTCTTTCTTGGAGTATGTGAATGTGTAGGAAGGCATATAAAAAGACCTGTATTGGCTGGGTGCAGTGGCTCATGCCTGTAATCCCAGCACTTTGGGAAGCTGAGGCGGGTAGATCACCTGAGGTCAGGAGTTCGAGACCAGCATGGCCAACATGGTGAGACCTTGTCACTACTAAACAAATAATAATAATACAAAAATTAGCCAGGTATGGTGGTAGATGCCTATAATCCCAGCTACTCAGGAGACTGAGGCAGGGGAATCACTTAAACATGTGAGGCAGAAGTTACAGTGAGCCAAGATCATGCCACTGCATTCCAGCCTGGGAGATTGATTAAGGCAGAGACTTGCTCTATTAATCAATAATCTGTATTGTATGTAGGTGACAATGACACTCTTTCCAAAATGATGACATCAAAATCACCACCTCCAGGCCACATGTCTCATAGTAGTATGGGTTTTAACTCATCCAATGTGTGAACAACTGAAACCCCTCAGAAGGACCAAAAACCTCACCCTACAGAAAGTAAGACAGCATACCAGACACACTAAAATAATGGTGTTTGGAGAACATGGTCCCTATACTAGGGTATTTCCTTGTTAAAAAATTCTAGGTTGAGCAGTTGCCTAGCAAGTGTGGGACACTGGGAGTGGCCACTATTTACTGCAGACAAGAAATGAAAGCATAGGGAGGCGGATCCAAGATGGCCGAATAGGAACAGATCTGGAGTGCAGTTCCCAGCGAGAACAATGCAGAGGGTGAGCGATCACCACATTTCCAAACGAGTTTTTACTGCCCACAGACCAGGAAATTCCTGGGCTGAAAAGCACCACAAATTTCTAGCACAGCTGTTTCAGCCAGCCTAGTGAGTCTCCCCAAAAAACTCACACAAATCTGGGTGATCATTTCAACTGACACCTGGAACACCTGGGAGACAGAGCCGCCCATTCAACTGAATAGAAGGGGGCTGAAACAGGGAGCCAGGTGATCTGGCTTCGTGATTCCCATCCCCACAAAGACCAGCAATCTGAAATGCTCTGGATTGAGAGTTTTGCAGCAAGCACAGCTGGACCTGAGATGGTCCGGCTCTGTGGGGGGAAGGGTGTCTGCCATTACTAAGGCAGTCCACCATTACCGAGGCAATCTGCCATTACCAAGGCAGTCCACCATTACTGAGGCAGCCCACCATTACCGAGGCAATCTGCCATTACCAAGGCAGTCCACCATTACTGAGGCAAGTCACCATTACCGAGAAATCTGCCATTACCAAGGCAGTCCACCATCACCGAAGCAATCTGCCATTACCAAGGCAGAGTCCACCATTACTGAGGCAATTCACCATCACCAAGGCAATCTGCCATTACCAAGGCAGGCCACCATTACTGAGGCAGTTCACCATTACTGAGGCAGATCTAACTAAACCTCTGTAAACAAAACTGCAAGGAAGTTTATGCAGTACCTGGGCAGAGCCCACAGCAGCTCAGCAGTACCTCTGCTGGCAGACTGTGACTAGGCTAACTCCTTGCTGGGAAGGGCATCTCTGAATAAAGGCAGCAGCATGTCAGGAACTTATAAATAAAGACCCACCTTCCCAGGACAGAACACTTGGGGAAAAAGGCGTTTATGAATTCTGCTGCAGCAGACTTAAATGTGCCTGCCCAGCAGCTCTGAATGGAACAATGGAGCTCCCAGATCAGCACTTGAGCTCCGATAAGGGACAGACTGTCTCCTCAAGCAGCTCCCCAACCCCTGTATATCCAGATACATACCTCATAAAGGAGAGCTCAGGCTGACATCTGGTGGATATCCTTCTGGGACAAAGATAACAGAAGAAGAAAGTAGCAGCAACCCTTACTGTGCTGCAGCTGCTGCAGGTGATCCCCAGGCAAGCAGGGTCTGAAGTGAGCGTCCAGCAGTCCTACAGGAGAGGGGCCTGTTAGAAGGAAAACTAAAATATAGAAATAACCTCAACATCAACAAAAAGGACATCCACTCAGAGATCCCCATCTGAAAGTCACCAACTACAAAGACCACAGATAGATAAAACCACAAAGATGGGAAGAAACCAGTGCAAAAAGGATGAAAACACCAAAACCCAGAATACTTCTCCTCCTCCAAGGTATCACAACTCTTCACCAGCAAGGGAACAAAGCTGTATGGAGAATAGTCTGATGAAGTGACAGAAACAGGCTTCAGAAGGTGGGTAATAACAAACTTCTCTGAGCTAAAAGAATATGTTCTAACCCAATGCAAAGAAGCTAAGAACTTTGAAAAAAGGTTAGTCAAAATGCGAATGAGAATAGACAGCTTAGAGAAGAATATAAATGACTTTACGGAACTGAAAAACACCACATGAGAACTTCACAAACATACACAAATTTCAATAGCTGAATTGATCAAGCAGAAGAAAGGATATCAGAGATTGAGGATCAACTCAATAAAATAAAATGAAAAGACAGGATTAGAGAAAAAAGTGAAAGGAAATGAACAAAGCCTCCAAGAAATATGGGATTATGTGAAAAGACCTAATCTACATTTGATAGGTGTATTTGAATGTGACAGAGAGAATGAATCCAAGCTGGAAAACACTCTTCAGGATATTATCCAGGGAAACTTCCCCAACATAGCAAGATAGGCCAATATTCAAGTCCAGAAAATACAGAGAACACCACAAAGATATTCTTCAAGCAACCCCAAGGCACAAAATCGTCATAGTCGCCAGGGTTGAAATGAAGGAAAATATGCTAAAAGAAGCCAGAGAGAAAGGTTGGGTTACCCACAAAGAGAAGCCCATCAGACTCACAGTGGATCTCTTGGCAGAAACCCTACAAGCTAGAAGAGAGTGGGCGTCTATATTCAACATCCTTAAAGAAAACAACTTTCAACCTAGAATTTCATATGTAGCTAAACTAAGCTTCATAAGTGAAAGAGAAATAAAATCCTTTATGAACAAGCAATTGCTGAGAGATTTCATCACCACCAAGCATGCCTTACAAGAGCTCCTGAAAGAAGCAGTAAACATAGAAAGGAATAACCAGTATCAGCCACTCCAAAAACGTACCAAATGGTAAAGAGCAAGACACAGTGAAGAAACTGCGTCAACTAACAGGCAAAACAACCAGCTAGCATCAAAACTACAGGATCAAATTCACACATAACAATATTAATGTTAAATGTAAATGGGCTAAATGCCCCAATCAAAAGACACAGACTGACAAATTTTATAAAAAGTCAAAACCTATAGGTGTGCTGTATTCAGGAAGTTCATCTCATGTGCAAGGACACAGATAGGCTCCAAATAAGAGGATGGAGGAAGATTTACCAAGCACATGGAGAACAAAAAAGTGGGACTTGCAACCCTAGTCTCTGATAAAATAGACTTTAAACCAACAAAGATCAAAAGAGACAAAGAAAGGCATTACATAATGATAAAAGGATCAATGCAACAAGAAGAGTTAATGATCCTAAATATGTACACACCTAATACAGGAGCATCCAGATACATACATAAAGTAAGTTCTTAACAACCTACAAAAAGACTTAGACCCCCACACAATAATAGTGGGAGATTTTAACACTCCACTGTCAATATTAGACAGATCAATGAGACAGAAAATTAACAAGGATATCCAGGACATGAACTCACATCTGGACCAAGCATACCTAATAGACATCTACAGAACTCCCCACCCCAAATCCACAGAATATACATTGTTCTCAGCATTACATCATACTTCCTCTAAAATTGACCACATAATTAGAAGTAAATCACTCCTCAGCATATACAAAAGAATGGAAATCATAAACAGTCTCACAGACCACAGTGCCATGAAATTAGAACTCAGTATTAAGAAGCTAACTCAGAACAGCAAAACTTCATGGAACCTGAACAACTGTTTTTTTTTTAATTGCATTTTAGGTTTTGGGGTACATGTGAAGAACATGCAAGATTGTTGCATAGGTACACATATGGCAGTGTGATTTGCTGCCATCCTCCCCATCACCTATATCTGGCATTTCTCCCCATGCTATCTCTCCCCAACTCCCCACCCCCATCCCTCCCCTATTTCCCCCCAACAAACCCCAGTATGTAGTGCTCCCCTCCCTGTGTCCATATGTTCTCATTGTTGAACATCCGCTTATGAGCGAGAACATGTGGTGTTTGATTTTCTGCTCTTGTGTCAGTTTGCTGAGAATGATGGTTTCCAGGTTCATCCATGTCCCTACAAAGGACATGAACTCATCATTTTTGATGGCTGCATGATATTCCATGGTGTATATGTACCACATTTTTCCTGTCCAGTCTATCACCGATGGGCATTTGGGTTGGTTCCAGGTCTTTGCTATTGTAAACAGTGCTGCAATGAACATTCGTGTGCATGTGCCCTTATAGTAGAACGATTTATAATCCTTTGGATATATACCCAGTAATGGGATTGCTGGGCCAAATGGAATTTCTATTTCTAGGTCCTTAAGGAATCGCCACACTGTCTT